TTATTTTAGTTTTTTTTATATTGTCCCCTTACCTTTGGTAATCTTATTTTAAACATTTACATTTTCACGTTCTGGAAATGGGAGGAGGAGAGGCTTTTTGCTTAGGTGTTTGATACGTATTGAATTTGGTTAACTACCCAGATAATGAGTAACGCATAATCATTTCTCGTTGCCTTTGCGTGGATCCTTTGGGGGTAGCATATATATTAAAAAAATAGGCTTCAGTTTACTTTTATAGGCTATATCATAACCTAAACCATGAAATAAGAAATAAAATTAAAGCCAAGATTTGTATTGTCGGTTATTTTATTTATCCTTGTCTGAGGTCTTAGATTATGATATTTCCCAGTCATCTTGCCTGCATACTTTCGCTCCTTGCAATTTATAGGCGAATCGTTAAACAATCGGGCTTAATATATCAGTGATTCCAAGTTATCAGCTTTACGCTTGACAGTAGAAACTCAAATAAAAAGCAAAATAAACCACCCTTGGAGATATAAACCAAGGTACCGTCTGAAACACCGCTGCTTCTTTAGTGCGGAGATGTCCCTGGAATTCGTTACTCACTGTTTTATATCTGGCAGTAAACAAATATTATACACTATCGGGAGTCCTTAAGGAACAGGAACACAATTGTCGCCATAAACTGAATAGCAAGCTTGTCAGCACGAAAATGCGGCCACAAAAAAAAAATAAAGGACAAAAAGCGCAGAAGCCGAACGAAGTCGATATTGACTTCTCCGAGGGCATATTGTTGGCGTTGTCGGGACGACACATAGGACGAGTGCATAAACAAAACGAAAACGTCTGCTTCTTAACTGAAGGAGCGAGGTACGTGCAACCTACTCCACAAGCTTAGTAAGCTGGCGAAATGGTGAACTCGATTGAATTAGACAGGGAGGTATTTCGAAGGGCGACTTTTGTTCCAGTGCAAACGGCAAGCATAATGCATTAAAGTTTTAGAAAAACAACTCGAGGCGTCGCTTAACTCTAGTTCTAATTTATTAAACCAGCATGTACGTCGTCACGGATGGTTGCAAATGAAAGTCAATTAGACATTTGTTTAGAAATATAGCAACTATGCAACACACTTGACTCAGGTAAATGGAGGGATGTTTGACACGACAGACTGATACACGATTAAAATTTTCAGATATCGAAAAATAAAGATAATTTCATCTACCTTTCGACAGACCTAAGTTTTTGCATTCACTTACCTCTGTCGGTGAATGGTATAAATAAACACAAAACATGTTTTCTCTTGATTAAATCTTTAGTTCAGCTCGAATAGTCCATCCTTTTGCCTCTTTTCAGGTTTTTGTTAACTCAGCTTTAAATAAATAAGCAAATAGCTCGTTTATTTTTGGAGTATCACTTCAGTAAACGCAACCTTTGTTCCGTGGAGATGGCAAACTATTTATGTTTGATTTTCAACAAATCATTAAGGGCTGAAAAGATTCCAACACACTAAAAAATCGCAATTGTAGTCCCAATATACAAATTAGGATTCAAAAACTGCGTGGAAAATAACTCATTTCTGCAACGTGTATATGCTGCGAACTTATGGAGCACGTGATTTATAGTAATATTATTGCTCACCTTAAAATATATCATCTTCTTATCGAAGATCAGTATGGGTTTTAATCTGGAGTATCCTATGTCACTGTCTTCTTAACGTTTTTCACTTTTTGGCGGGCACCGTGGATACTGGGAATGAAGTAGACTGTTTGTTTTTAGACTTCATAAAACCCTTTGATCTCGTAAACCATAAATTCTTAATTTACAAGATCAGCTTGCTTGCTATTGATAATAATGTTCTAGGTTGGCTCCAGGACTACATGAGAGAGAGAAAAGTGTTAAAGAGAAAGGAAGCCTGGAACTTCTTAACCACACCATCGATTGGGGGAAAGCCAGTTCCAGAGGGACTACCTGAGCAAACGAAAGCAGTGCGTTGTGCTAAATGGTGAAAAGTCCGATTACGTTGGTGTTACTTCTGGTGTTCCCTGGGATTCTGTCCTGGGACCTTTTCTCTTCGTGGTATATATAAATGATATAACTAATGGAATACAATTAAATACAAGATCATTTGCAGATGACTGCATTATTTATAGAGAAATTTATGATTCGAATGATGTAATTTTCTTACAGGCTTATCTTGACAATATTTCAATGTGGTGCAACAATCTGAAAATGAAAGTGAACGTTAAAAACATGTTCAGGTGAGATTTACTTAAAAGCAAAGCTCCATTGGCTCTACCTACATAATAAATATTCAAATAATTTCTAACTCAAGCGTAACGCACTTGGGCGTCATTCTGTCTACCGATTTAACGTGGAAAGCTCGAAACTGGAGAAAATACAAAATCAATGTGGAAAATTTGTTTTAAATGATTAACAACGCGGGGCGAGTGTCACCACCATGAAGGATAATTTAAAATGGGAATTAACAGTTCAACGCCGAAAAATGTTTAGGTTAAAAGCTGTGCTTGATATATCTAAGAATCGCCTTCTAATCAGTTGAGACATGTTCTTACAGGAGCCTTTTTATACATCAAGAAGTGCAGACCGCCAGAACCAAATCTAACCATGCTTTTGCAGTACCGATGTTTTTGCGTTTTCTTTTTTTCCGAAGACAATAGAAGAATGAAATAGGTTGGCTATTGAAGGATGTGTTTGACGTTTATACAAGTTTATTTGTGCTTCGATGTTTTTGTTTTCTACTCACCCCTGCTATAACGTCCAACGGCAATGCTCTATGTAAAAAAACAGAACGCGTATTGGCATAATTCACATGTTTGTGGAATTTGTGATGGTGATATACAAAATGCATTTTTTTTAGTTCCAACAGATTTTTTAAGCGAAGGACAGTTTCAAGAATCCCATCGTCAAAGTATGTTTTCCAGACTCAGCCGATATTCGATTGAAGGGTAACCGTCACGTTAAACTGGCCAAACACACTGACATTTAATTTTTTTAGTAAGGTCAAGGTGCAGTTGAAGTTTTAAAGGTAGGTATTATTGCGGGCTTTAACCTAATAAAGCACTGATGAAAATCACTGGGTTTCGAAATATTTATTGCTTCATTTTAGTCGCTTTTGTTTTTACTGCTTCCGAAACTTTATGAAGAAAAAGTGCCGCGATCACTACCCACCATGAAGCGTAAGAGATTGATGTATTCGTCTCGGGTGCTTTGCCATCATTTCGGCAGCTTTCTCTCTGCTCATCCAAACGACAATGGGCCAGGAAAAGGAACATCGCTCTTCTGCGCATCATTAATTGCAGGGCTGACGACACTGCTTTTGTATCAAGTTTTGGAATAAAGAGTACAGTAAAACTGCGTTCACAAATGCAATCTCTGCAAAGCACGAGGACTTTTAATTAAATATACTATTGACAATAGCCCCTTGCTAACGAGTGCTAATTATTGTTTTACTTGTTTAGACAACTGTTAATTATAACTATATTGAAAATAGCATGACAATTTAGATAAGCTATTCTCTTATTGAATGACCGCTGAGCCCGTAAACATGCCATTAAAACTGTTTTTTTTTAATTCAATATAACCCCGTTCTAAAAAAGTGTGTCAAAAATAAATAAACAGTATCTACAAAGTAGTGCAGCCTTTTTTGTACTTCCCGTTCCTCCACTGTTATTAAGAATTTTGCAACATTTCATATACCCACACAAATTTTTGGTCATATAGGATCCTTCTTGGATGCCTCTGTGTACAGAAAACAAATAGTTTACCAGCTCAAGCAACTGATCTCCGGATGTAAGGGAAAAATATAGGTCATTTTTTTCCGGCTTGCGATGACGGGGTGAGAGTTATCTCAAATCCCTACTCTATCCTGTCTTCCCCAGTTGCGCAAAATCAATCCCGTTAAAACGTAAGTCTCGCAAAAATAAAGAGAAAGAATCGCGCTCGTGGGAAGAACAGCAGTCCTTCTCAAGACTGCTATACTTATGTTTGTTGTTTCAACGCTCTCGAAGAATGACTACGTTGCTTTTTACAGCTCCACCAGTTACAGTTAAAAGAGTTTTGCTTTATCGGGTAATCAACGCAATTATTTTCACCGGAAACTTGGAAACGAATGCATTCTATAAGCCGGCTTTGCATGTGTGAGTAAAGTTTCATAAGTATTTGATTTAAGTGCGTTAATCAAAGGGTACGCGTAATAAAAGATGACATACACATGCATAAACTCCGATAATCTTAACCCCACGCTGCAAACTGGGCATAATTGGGCCTTTGGAATAGAAATTTACAATAGGTCGCAATATATTCTTTTTTTAAGACAACCTAGTGAATGGCGCAAAACTATATGGTTTAAAAAGCAAGGGTATATAGCAACGCTAAATGTGGAGCATTCAAATAAAATATACGTGTTTGGGCAGGGGGGGGGGGGCGGGGGCATTTGACTGTCATTTGTCAACAATGAGCAACTACTCGCATTAGTACTTAGCTCCATTGTTGCGATCACGGATACTTTTGCAATCATTTTGTGTATGTGTGTGTGTGTGTGTGTGTGTGTGGACCAGTACTTTGTGTGTTGCACATATTTTGGTAATCGAGTCTTGTTTGCAAATGGTTAAAAATATGTTATTTAAGATGTATCAATTGTATGTGAATGGACGAAGGAAAGGTAACGGAGGCGCTAAATATTCAGAAGCTATCAACTCTTTTTTTGTTTGTTAGCGTATGCGGAAACAACGTATGAGTAACTGATATCGACATTTTAGGGAGAACTGAACATGTGCATTAAAGCATAGGCATTGGAATAAATGGTCTAGATGTATCAAATTTGATGTATCAATGTTTGTAATTTTTTATATACGGAAGCATTTAATATTCTTTAAAAAAATATATTTTGTACAAAAACAAACAAGACGAGGAACAAAACAAACAACGTAGGTCAAATCTCCTCTTAACTAAGAAGTTTATTCTATGAAATCCGATAATTTGGTTCTACTCGTTTAAGTTGCTCTTTTTGTGTGTTTCAGCTTGGGTACTTGGATGGTTCATGTGCAAGACGATGTCGTATCTTCAAGGTGTTGCTGTCAGTGCCTCTATCAACACACTCGTCGCAATTTCAATGGACAGGTAAGACCTAGTGAGTTTCTCTGTAGTAGGCAACGTAATAAAGCGACTGTGAACTGCATTGCTAAGAACGGTGGGAAACGTAAAAGCAACAATATTTTGGGGTGATGAAGTTATTCGCTCCTGAAATATAATGTTACCAAATCGCCTTTTATAATTGGTCCTAAATTTGCCTCATGTAGATATTGACCGTCCTTTAAAATGTAAACCTAGTCTTGATGTCTTAAATTTATATTAAGCGGAAAACATGTACCGTGCAAAGTGTTTCACTGGAAATCAGGATAATCGTATCCTATTGTTGGACCAGGAAAAATATATGAAAGAACATAAAAACTTAGAAATATGAATCACTATTTAAAAAAAGATTCCAAATTACTATTCCCCTTGTAAAACTGAAAATATGATACGGATTTTTCGCTAATCCCCAGTGCTCCTTCTTCACTAGGATGCCTAGAGGGTGGTCTGCCCTTTGTCCCTGTCGTTCCCCTTCTCCAGGGATTATTATTTTCTTCTAGAATTATATGCCGGGGTTCCAACGGAGTTGATGACTGATGTAAATAACGGCAATGTGGGCTTTACACTGTGTTAATTTTGTTTTGTTTCTTTATATTAACGCAGAGCTGGATTTCACGCGAAAAGCGTCGCGCACGGGTGTAATGAAAAAGCGTTACACTCTCGTCAGGGCAACATACATGATGATTAGCACATAGCAAGCAATTCATTAGTATACAAAAATCACAGATACTTAGTCATGATTAGCCATACGTAATCGTAATTAGGCGTAATTAATTGTCACAAGCGGGATTTACCACACGGTTCAGCGGCAACCGAGCGCCGAACAATGTGATCCGTAGCCAGTTACGTCTGCTCGGCGCACGAGGAAATTAAAAAAAATTGAAACGGAGAGCAAGCACCAGGACCAAGTCTGACTCGTGGAGCGTGCGTGAATAGGCGACCGTTGGCGCGTGCAAGTGGCTTCCAAATTGCGAAGTGTAGCTTTCCACGTAATTTCGCGGCCTCACGGGTCAATTTATAACGCGGCCAAAGATAAGCTCACCCTCGTATGACGTCATGACTCCGCACAGAGGCCAAAAGGTGCGTAGCGGGCGCGTTAACCTTAACGGCCCCTTGATGTGTTTACGTTTGTCTTGCAAGTAGTGCCAAAAGCCCGCACCTAGTCCTCAACTCGGAAGTAAACGGAGGCGCAGCATTGAAATGGGCGGCCCTTTGAAGCGAACGGCGGCACACTACTCACTCAAAGGATGCGCTCAAGGCACGCTTAAGGCACACGTCATTTCGTCATTTGGAAGAAATGCCGACCATGACTTTTACCAATGGACTTGAGATAAACCTACCCCCTTGACGACTGTGCTTCAGCTACCACAAGGGGGTTCATGATGTCCAAGATCACTAATAACTCGAGGCACTACACCCCCCCCCCCCCCCGGAAGAAGCAGAACCCGTAAAAACTTATCATTACAGCATGCTCCTCACACACTCGAATCCTGAATAAATTTAAACTTGTCGTGACCCTTGTGATAAGCCCGGGTATCCGAAACTACTCAAAACTCACCGTAACAACGTATAACAAATGATACCGCATGCCTAGTGCACGCATGACACATCCTATGCTCCCCAGGTTTAACAGAATAATGACGATAGCTTTAAATTTTGTGGTAAGGATACTTAATTTTGGAACGCGTTTACTTTAGGTGATGGGCATGCGTTGAACTGTGGCTATTGGCGCTCAGGGAGAAGGTTGAAGTGGTGGGAGTAGGAGACCGGTTAATCGTTACAGTGAGTGATGCCACCGTTCCGTAAGAGTTTAAAGTAAACCAAATCTCTGCGAAAACAAAGCCACAATACGCACTTAGACGGTGCCACAAAATGTGGGTTGTCTAAGCAATGAACAACCAGATTATAGCACAGAAATATTGGCAACGCTATTAGCGGCGAAGGTGTTTTCCTTCTGCCGGCCTTGGGTTGGGTTCTCGGTCACTCATGCACCAAATTTCTAAATTATGAAAATTATATTTTCTCTGCATCTCTAATTTTCCAAGGTGCGCTTTTTCTGTTCTCGACAATTGTTATTGTCACATGCCGTTTTCCACATGTATGCGCAGGTGCCTGGCCATCTGCTACCCGCTCAAGTGCCAGCTTTCGACGCGCAGCGTACGCAAGATCCTCGTGATCATTTGGACTTTTTCAATCGCCATCACATTTCCCTGGGCACTATACTTCACGTTGCAGCCACTACACCCCAGTATCCCGGGCATCAGCCTGTGCGTGGAGCAGTGGCCAGACGAGACATCGTCCACCCTCTACTTCATACTCGCCCACCTGGTTCTCTGCTACCTGTTTCCCTTGCTTCTCATCATCGTCTGCTATTCCTGCATCTGGGTCAAGGTCTGGCGCCGCAGCATCCCCGGGGAGTCCAAGCACACCGAAATCATGGTGCAGAAGTCTAAGCTCAAAGTGGTCAAGATGATGTTTGTGGTGGTTGTCATTTTTGTGATCTCCTGGTTACCGCTCTACATAATTTTTACGAGGATCAAGCTGGACAGCCCACCCGAAGAAGGCAGCGTCGAGTGGAACCTCATGCTGATTCTGACACCGGTGGCGCAATGGCTGGGCGCGTCCAACAGTTGCATCAATCCGGTGTTGTACGCCTACTTCAACCAGAAGTTTCGCAAGGGCTTTCTGGCCATCATCAAGAGCAGGTCTTGTTGCGGAACGCTGCGGGAGCCCAGCTACTCTGTCCGGGGTACCACGCTGCGCTCTGGAAATACCCGCGGGCTTTCAAGGTACGACACGCAGTGCGAGTATCTCTCCACGTCGGCTGTGTAACTTTGGCCAAAACTGCGAGGCCAGCGAGAATGCTGCTGCGGCTGAATGTGCTTGTTTTTTGTTTGCTCCTCGGTTGCGCACTCGTTTGTATGTCTTCGTTTTATAGAATATAGAATGTTCAGAAACATCTCTGGGAAAACGTTTTAGGTAACGAAATCAACTTTAGTCAAATGGTTAGCACACGTTCGTTAACTAAACTTTTTTCACCGAAAGGCCGTCTAAACCTCGTTCAAATCTCATAACACGCGATAGGAAGAAGCAAATTCGAGATCAGAACAGACCGTTCCTACAACTTCAGCGGCGACTTCCATTGTATCTACAAAAAAGGCAGAAAGGCAGTCCACCCTTCTATAAAAAATGTGTACATTAGCGAAAACTGATTATTAAAAGAAAGCCACAATAGATGAGCGAAATTCATCTGTTACGCTATAGTATATTGCAAGTTAAGATGGTGGAAGAGAGAAAGGAAGGTGCAAAAGGAGGAAGCGGACGCAACGCTGACAAGGGTTTCTCCTCTCTTGCCAGCGTTGCGTCAATTTCCTCTTTTCTCCCTCTCTTTTTCTCGTCCTACCTTCTTAATTTGTCACTGTCTATATAAATAATTAAGCGCATTGTGATGCGAAAAAAGCTGAAATATAGAAATCGTATAAGAAAACCATTTTAGAGGTTTTAAGTACAATAAGTGCTGATGATGTCTGCATGTGTGGCTTTAGTATTTTTGTTAAATGAGTGTGACCCAATTTTTAGAGAAACGTAAGACCTAAAATTATATTATGTCTTCTTTGAGTGGCGTCAATATTTGTGGAACGACAATATTGGATATAGATTGGATAGTTAAGTTCACTAAGTAACGTTGTCTCACTATTTTTTTTTTTGTTTTTGTGTTATTAGCCATAAAATTGTAATTAGCCGTAAAACACTAAAGTCGTCCGTCGACTCCAATGGTCTTGTGAATTTTCGACGTATTGATTTTCATAAATGTTCGAATAAACGCAGTATTATAAGATTAGTGGCAAAGATAGCTGTCCCAGGTCAGACGAGCCTTACCAATCTTGTAAGAAGCTGGTCGCTGATTTTATATTAGTTTTTAATCTAAATGCGAAGATTGCCTGATGACACTTCGTGGTTTATTTAGGTCGATTAGCTCATCAACTTCAGATGCTACACGTATAGAAATTAAAGTAGAAGTCTCTTCAAAACACATGTTGTTGATTCCAATATGAGGTTTTTTTTTCCGCAGAGATAGGCAGATATTTTTTCCCGTCTTCAAGTCGCATGCCTACTTCGCATTGGATATTAGTTGTGCATTCAAACTGCACGGATACATTTACAAATGAAGTCTGTTGCATTAAAATAGTTTTTTTTATTTATTAAATATACCCTATAATTGACATCTTAAATTAGTTTTTCAGACGCCTGCACTTGTGTGTTCGGAAATATGCATAGTGTTTGCCTGTGTGTGACTGTTCAGCCTGCAAACATTTTAACCTCTGTGTTGTTTGTGGTCACAGGTCCGAAAATCTGGAGTATGTAGAGCATCCAAGGGCCCACTCGAAAGCAGGTACTTTGCTAATCAACGGTGGTCCCGATGCTCAAGCAACCAACGTTAAAGCCCCCCTGGTAGCCTAAACTGTATCTCGGTAGTCATTTCCTGTCGTGCTAGCTTTCTACGGGCACCACAGCCTTTTATGACGCCTGTAATTGTACAAATAGAACGTGAAAGGAACTCTTCGTAGTGGAAAAGACAGCCATGGAGTGTGTCTGTGCGAGTCTGCATTAACTGTTATCTATTGTTTTGTACTTACCCCCTGAACTGTGTGTCACGAATGTATGCCTTTCAACATGAGATTAATAAAAAAGGAAGTATGCTCATCGTTGATTTGTTTGGTTTAGTGCTCGCATTTTATTTCTTTAGTCTTCGTTCCTATATATGACGAATCAGCAAAATATAACCACAGGTGAGTAGAGAACAGCAGAATGTTCCCGTGGCAATCTCTCCTTCACTGCATGCCGTTCAGCAGCGATATGTTGCAAGTCAAACATAGCTAAAGGCCAAGCACCCTGTCTTTCACTTACAGTGGTTCGTTTCACTTTTAATCAGAGCACAGCCTACGTGATAGCCCTTGGGATCAGACGAGCGGCGCCAGAACCGCGATGTCATGGCGTTTGTCGCCTTTCTATGCATCTGATATATTGACTAAATTAATCACGGACAGTGAACGAACCATGTCCTGAAGCTTTTAGTATAGGTGTCTATGTTTTTATGCATGTTAACCTTTGACAGAGCTCTTACTACTGATGATACGGAGTATAGCACAATGATGTTTGAAGATACCACGTTCGTAAACTAGAGGTGGCCATATAAAAGTCTATCATTATGAAGCTGGTGGCTTTTTCTTTTATCATGCATACGCGTTTCCGATGTCGTAAACAAAATTGGTGTTGGGCATCGCAATATATACAATACAAGCCAAATTATTGCAATTAAAGAACATTGCAATATTTTTATATACCAATTACTTCACATCTAACTTAGAACACGCCATAAACATGTATATTTTACAATATAGAAAGTTTCGATTAGTTGTCGTTTCCATGGCCTATCTATGTTCTACGAAGTTTTAAAACAAAGTTGCCTCGAAACATACGCGCTCAGAAAAACACATGTGTTGAGGAAAACCAATTGTTTTTTTCTTTGACCAGTGGGAAACCTTGCTAAAATTAAGGGGGGAAATACAACGCCCCATTTCGTTAAGCTTCGGACATGCGCCGGTAAGCTTTAAAGGTCGTTGGGCTCTGTTCAATCTTAGCGGGAACGGTGGCTAGAACTGTGGAAACTAAAATAATTTCTCATGCGCGGCAAAGCGATGCCGACAAAATATATTCAGTTTCTAATTTTCGCTTTGCCCAAGGTGGCAATTTTAAATCAGCCTTATACAAAACGCTTATCTCTTCCGCTTATGCATTCTTGAAATGAATGGCTCGCGAATCTAATTATACTGCTTACACTAGATATTTGATATCCAAAGGCAGCGTAAAAGTGTGTTCGTTTTCTACATAAAACAACAGCTCGCTTGCAAAGGTGCAAGCGAGCTGTACAATAATTCGGTCGCTCACCAGTCACCTAGTTGTGTATGGCGATTTGTGTTTGTCCTTTGTCCCCCTTGTTCCCCTTCTCCAGGGATTATTTTCGTCATTCTTGTCCAGCTCGTTTGCACCTCTGCATTTAATTGCAATATAATCATAACCTCAAATCGCAAGCTTCACTCTTGTTGGTGTTAGACTGGTGGCGGTTGATAAAACACGTTTGCTCTACTGACATCTAACCCTTGGTTAGTTCAGTTGGTAGAGCGCTCCACCTGTAATGGAGAGGTCCCGGGTTCGACACCCGGACCAGGCGGATTTTTTCGGTCGCTCACCAGTCACCTAGTTGTGTATGGAAATTTGTGTTTGTCCTTTGTCCCCCTTGTTTCCCTTCTCCAGGGATTATTTTCGTCATTCTTGTCCAGCTCGCTTGCACCTTTGCATTTAATTGCAGTATAATCATAACCTTAAATTGCAAGCTTCACCCTTGTTGGTGTTAGACTGGTGGCGGTTGATAAAGCACGTTTGCTCTACTGGCGTCTAACCCTTGGTTGGTTCAGTTGGTAGAGCACTCCACCTGTAATGGAGAGGTCCCGGGTTCGATATCCGGACCAGGCGGATTTTTTCGGTCGCTCACCAGTCACCTAGTTGTGTATGAAGATATGTGTTTGTCCTTTGTCCCCCTTGTTCCCCTTCTTTAGGGATTATTTTTGTCATTCTTGTGCAGCTCGCTTGCACCTTTGTATTTAATTGCAATATAATCATTGTGTCTTCTTTAGCTTTTCCTTCACCGTATGGAATACTCTCTCGGCAGCACCGTTGTATGCTGGATGATATGGAGGAACTAGAATCTGCGGCACCCGATTACGAGCCAGAAACGTTTTGTAAAGAAAGCTTGTGAATGCAGGACCGTTATTGCTCTCAACCAGACCTGGCAGTCCATGGATTGCGAAAATCAACCGCAGACACGCAACTGCAGCTTCTGCTGAAGGGGACGCACGCGTACAACCTCTATCCACTTAGAGTAAGCATCCACCAGTACCAAAAAGTACACCCCCTGAATTAAGTCCCCGAAATCCACATGGACCCGAGGCCAAGACCGTTCGAGAAACCGTCACAGCGTTCGCTGCACGGCCCTTGGAGCCTTGCGATGTACCTGGCAGACTGCTCACGTGCCCACCCTGCTAACAATGTCTTTATCGATGCCTTATCTTCATCTACTCTACCCCGGGGAGGCTGTCGTGCAGCAAATCCAAAACTGCTGTCCGTAGCGATGCCGGCAAAACCACATGACTTCCCTGAAGGACACAGCCCTCCATAACAAAGAAGTCCTCCAGCCGGTTCGCAAAGGGTCGCCATTCAGCACCAGGCGGTGGGTGACCACCAAACCACAACACGTCGCGCAATGAAGCCAGCAATCAATCTCGGCCAGTCGCCGCCTCCATGACTGTTGCCGATAGGACACTAGGATGCACTCTCTCCAACATGAAAGCATTTTGGATTTTTTTAATCCTCTACCGGTGGAAACGGAAGTGGCAGCCGACTCAGTGCATCAGCATTGCACAAGCTGGCTCTTGGCTTGAGGACAGCTTGTAGTTGTAGCCACTTAGTGTCAATAACCATCGCAGCACTTGAGAGGATCTCTGCAGGGGATTGCGACAGTCCTGCCCGATCAGTCCCAACAACGGCCTATGATCCATAAGCATTTCCACTTGCCGATTCCACACAAACTAGTAAAACTTCAGCATTCAAAAAATTACGGCCAGAGTCTCCTTGTCCAGCTCACTATAATTCTCGGCTGCTCTTAACCGACGTGACGCAAATGCCCCAGGTCGCTCTGATCTAGACTTCACTCTGTGCGCCAGTACTGCTCCAATGCCATATGGCGACGCATCGCAGCACAACGACAAAAGCCACTTGGCATCATAATAAACCAACACTTCGACTGATGTCAGCAACTTCTTACTTGCATTAAATGCTGCCTTTTGGTCCACTCCTGACTGCCACACTTCTTTCCTCTTGAGGAATAGATGCAAAGGATACAAAACTGATGACAAACTCGGTAGAAACCGTCGGTAATAATTAAGCAGCCCCAAATAACTCTGCAGCTCACGAACATCAGTCGGCGGGGGTTCCCGAACAATAACCTTGACTTTGTTGGGTGCATTGTTCAACGCGTTCTTGTCAATGACGGAGCACAAGTACTCCACGCCTGACGCCCCGAAAATGCACTTCTGCAGCTTGAGCTTCAATCCAGGATCACACAGTTGACGCAGCGCCTCCTCCAAATTAGGGCGATGGTCTTGTTCTGAATTCCTGTAACCAAAATATCGGCGAAATAAATGACGACCGGATGGCATCCCCGTAGAAGGCTCTCCATTTCGCAGTGAAAAATGGCGGGTGTCGACGCCACCTCGAACGGAAGACGATTGTACTGAAAAAGCCCACGCTGGGTGTTGATGGTCATATACGTTTTTGAAGCCTCGCCTAGCTCTACCTGTTGGTATGCATCTCGGAGGTCCAAATTCGAGAGCGTCTTGCCTCCCGCCAGCTTCGTCCAGATCTCGTCCACCAGTGGCACTGGATACGTATCGATGTTCGCAGCCTGGTTCACAGTGATCTTGAAATGACCACATAGTCGGATTTTCCCATCTTTCATCAACACCGGAACGAACGTTGCTGACCATTCCAATGTTCGTACTGGACTCAGGAGAGCCTCACGCTCCAACAGCTGAATCCATTGTGCCACCAGATCCTGCAGTGCGAACGGGATTGCTTTCAGCGGAAAGAACATCGGTCTCCGATCGTCCGGCACTTTTATCTCGGTCCCTTGACGCCACGCAGTTTACCCAGTCCTTCCTAAAACAACTCGGGAAACTTGCCCACCAAGTCGTCTGCACCGTTGACCCGATGGACTTCCAGCAAGCTGTTCACGGGCATTCCAAAAGCACTCGCCCAATTCCTTCCAAAAAGGGCCCGGGACCCGCCCCTGACAACAAAAAAGGGCAGCCGGGCCTGCCTTTCCCCAAACTCGGCGTTCACTGTCGCCTTCCCGACAACTGCCGACTGGTGTCTGAAGTAGCCTCTCAACTTGACGTGGGACTGCTAGAGCGCCGTCCCCGGAAAACGCCTTGCGAACTCCGCCTCGTCCATCACCGAGTAGAAGGTCCCCGTGTACACTTCCATGCGTACCGACCAACCCTGGACAGTTACTGTAGCCCATATGGGCAATACTTAAGGTTCCAGGACATTCATGTCTTCAGGTTGTGAAACACAGCAGCTGCCGCACCGACTTCTATTGACCGCAAGCTTCCGACGTCGTTTATCTTGGCTTCGTCATCGGACAGGTGCACCGCCATCACGGCTCGATGAGCGTTAGGCCTTGCAGATCCGCCTCCCCACTGTCCGCTTATGTGCGACGGGCCTTCCGGACTCCTGCCCCTACCTTGCTTAGTCGGGCACCTTCTTACTGAATGTCCCTTCTTCTGGCACGAGAAACACCGCAGGTTACGGAACCTGCACGACGACTCGGAGTGCCGCCTACCGCACCAATGACACTCGCCGACTGTCTCATCGGATTTTGACACCCGGTCTATGGCCTACTCCCCCGTCTGGCTAGTCATCTGCCTCGCCCCCTGACAGCAGCCTTCATACTGGCGAACATATTCACAGCACGGTCCAACGTCAGTTCCGGCTCTTCAAGCAGCCGCCTTAGCGTTGCATTGTCTCGAACGCCATGGACATGCCGGTATTTCCGATTGTTGCCTGATTCTTGTCCGCAGTTCCGTGA